GCGAGCTCCTTTTGTTGTTGGTTGCCTTCAGTTGCCGCGTCGCGCGCCGCTGGGCGATCGCTGAATTGCCACACCGCGCGCGCCGCGTAGCGCCGCGGTTCGACCCGGAGTCGCCGGTGCCGCTGCAGGAGGCGGCCGCCACCGTGCGGCCGCGGGCCCGCCGACGAACGCCGGGCGCGGCCTGACTCGACGAGGACACCGCCGTGCTCCATGGCACCTATTCCCGACTCCCGGTGCGACGCAGGACGCAGGACGCGCGCGGCCTCCACACGCGCGCGTGCGCGTTACAAGTACCCTTTAAGTGCACTTTGGATTTTTGAAACCCGACCTCCGGGCCCACCCACCCACTGGGGGGTGCCGTCGGATCTTTTGTCCGTGGTCGACTCTCGCCTCTCGACGAGTTATGGCGTCGCAATTCGTGTTGAGGCCCTGTGCGCGACTCTGAGCCATGCTCCTCGGCGGCTTTGCATCGATCGCGCTGGCGCTCGCATCCGTGTCGCCGGACGTGCTGCCGCCAAATGCGCTGCCACCGAACGCGCTGCCGAATGCGGACGCGTCGCTGCCCGCGCCAAAGGCGCTGAAGCCCTGCCGCGGCGAGAGCGACTGCATCTCCTCCGCCGGGACCGAGAGCCCGAACCACTTCCAGGCGCCGCTGGCCCTTGGCGCCGGCGGCCGCGCGGCCGCGTACCGCGGCGCCGTCGGCGCGCTGCGCGAGGCCGGCTGCGCCGTCCGCGGCGACGCCGCGACCTACGTCGTCGCGAGCTGCCCCGACGGCGACGACGTCGAGCTGCTCCTGAGGGACGACGTCGCCACCTTCCGCGCGGCCGCGCGGCGCAAGGGCCTCACGCCGCCCTGGTGCACGGAGAAGAACTGCATCAACGGGAGCATGGCGCAGCGGAAGCGCGTGCTGGCGCTCGGCGCGAAATTGGGCTGGTCGCCGATCGACTCGACGAACATGGAGGACGAGGGGCGATGGACGCCCATCTTCTTCAACACCGACGCCGTACCGAGGGACGAGTAGTAAGATTACTGCTTCGACGCGTCCTCCTCCTCCGCCTTCGGGTTCCACAGCGCCTGGGGCGCGTCGAAGCACGCGAGCGTCGGCCAGGAGCAGAAGAGGCCCTCGTCGGGCGCGTCCCCGACGCTCCCGCCGCGGTCCCGGTGCCTCAGCCGCGCGCGCGTCACGTTGAGCTCGTCGAGGATCTTCGCGTTCTCGTCCGCGAGGTGCTCGACGTGCAGGTTGATGCGCCGGTTGTGCTCGAGGACGTCGTTGAGCTGCCGCTGGACGCCGTCGTCGTGGGCCTTGGCGCTGCGGTCGAAGGCGTCGAGCCAGGCCCGGGCCTCGTCGGCGGTCGACGCGAGGAGCCGGTAGGCGATGCCGCTCACGGTCTTGACGAGGATGGGCGCGGGCGCCGCGTCCTTGTCGAAGGCGCGCTTCGCGGCGTCGACGCCGACGACGTCCC